TGTATTGAAAATTACAGACACAGTATATGCGGCACTCTATGTGAGCAGCGGGCAGCAGATCTGAAACCAGCCTGTGTTTGCTAGGCTGTTGAGGCAGTGCTCAACATTCAATTTCCAGAGTGCTACTGGGTGTGGAGACCCCTCCTATTTCAAATGACGATACTCAATAAGCGTCTAACAGGGCTCAGGCATGTGGTCAGCTTCATTTCTTGGGGCCAGTTGAGTGTAACTCCGTTGTTCACACCACCAAGTTGATGTCAGCCAGCGTTGTTTCCAGCAGCAGGACCCTAGGATTGTTCTGATTTCCCCACCCCCCCACTTAAATCGGTTCAGCTGCTTCTGACCTTCTGGTATCAACACCAGTAATTTAGTGTCCGCTTATATAGCGGAGACAAATATCATTCTCAAATCAAACATTTGCAACTCCAACTCTACTGTAGTCATTGAAATTTGAACCAGGAGCAGCTCAAACACATCCATCCTCAATAAATGACTTTTCTTCAAAAGTTGATGCCACTGTGCCTCTTTATTAATCAAAAACAGCTGACGTGTCATTTGACATCTTTTTAATAGCAGCAATCACACAAAACAGCTGCTTGGATCTTCTGGTTTAGCTCTAAAATCGCTAGAATAGGTTTGACACTATCACACTCCCTAGGAAGAAGGCACTGCAAGATGACATCCATGAGGTTTAGACAGCATGCTAATGGCTAATACTTATTGTATAAAAGATGTAACTTTTGAACAATTGTTGTTTGTTATAATGACAAGTTACTCATTTAGCTTGAATATGTACTGAAAATCTTTGGTGGAACACAGCTCGCCTCGAGTTCGGAAGGAAACTCTGTAGTTCAAATCGTCCTTTTTATTGGCTTAAAACATTAAAACATTGAATCTGCTATTTGCATTACAGCACTTGTATTTCTAGAATAACAATAACAATAACAAAATCTTTTTAAATGAATATTCTTATACCTAAAGTTATAATCTCTAGATTTTAATTTAAATGAATCTGTTACTTCACTATTTAACTCTGAATGAGGTAAAATAATGGTGATTGAGCCTATGGCCCACGGATTATAGTATTGCAATATTTATATATTTTATAGTATTACGAACTAGGTGTCGATGGCACTAGGTGTAACTAGGTGTCACCACTCCCAGAAAAAATGCTGTATCAAGTTACTGCTAATGCAAAGTGAACATTTCCTACAGCTGCAGCTTCACATTAAAATCACTTTACTGGAAAAACACAAGTTTACTTTTATTATGAAGTAGTAACATGAAATGCAACGTGCTTTTCAGTGAGATTAACACTGCCTGCTATTGTTCATCAAAAATTTGTCTAAAAAACAAGACAATGGTCATTTTCTATTGTTGACACCGGATCAGTTTGAAATATTGCTGGGAGTAATGGAACAAGAAGGAGCAGCAAGGAAGAGCTGCAGGCGACAGGCTGCACACCTCAAGTTTCTCAGCGAGGTAACCAGCTCCTTTCAACGTGCCCTGCTATTTGAAGCTGCATGCAGCTTAAAATCAGATCATGGTTGCACACAGAATGATGGAAAAAGGCCAATTATTACCTGACTTATAAAACAACAGTTTGCATTGCTGCACCCCGAATTATGTGACCTGCAGTATTAAACTACATTTGCTGTTAGGCCTGCCACCAGTAACCACAGGTGTATTAAGTATTGTCATTCTTATAAAGCTGGTATGGTTAACATGTTAGCTTCAAGCAGACGCAAAGTACTCTCCAACAACTCCTTAAACAGCTGCAAGCTAATGCTGAAAACAATGCTGAAGAATGAGCTGAAAGACACAAACCAACTTTGGGGAACTGTAGAGGTGGGAGATGTGGATCCATCACTATGAGTTACCCCTCACTTGATCCATTGTTAATATAAAAATAATGATTAGAGCAGCTTTAACTAATCTGACACCAGGATAATGAATGCAAGAGGGATCAGATGTCAGTTGATGTCCTTCAGGATATGTAATCTATTTTGCCATTTGGTTGATGCTTGCATTTTGGTTTGGTGAATGCAAAATTCACAAGTACTCTGTGTACATAAGCAAGGACTGGACACAATCACAGAAACACCCGTTTCCTGTGCTACGAAGCGAGGTAACTGGCTTATCCAGGTAACGTCTGGAGTAACTTTGTGACGTCGGGTGTAACTACCTGATTAAGCCGTACTACGAAAGGTGGATAGGTGTTACCCGAGGTCTGTTGCCATGGCACTTTATGCTGCATCTCTAAACTGCTCCGAGCAGGTTTTGTTCGTGGTTAACTCGAGGTTACCCTGTACACATGGACTATACACCACATCTTTACCCAGAGTTAATGATGAGAAGTTGGATATTAATACATACCACTTAATAAAATATTTTAAGATTTCATCCTGACTTGTTCCACAGGTTGCAGCTGAAATAGAGTTATTCTTAACACAACAGCATTACGTTCATACAGCAAGCCCTGCAGCCTCTGTGATTTTAGGGAGGAGATCTTATTTAATTTAATTTAACGGGACAGTTTCTTTCTTTTTAATCACGAATCGCACTGCTATGCGCAAAATTTAATAATGAATTCTAAAGTAGTGTATTGTGCACTTTTAATTTCTATGTACTGCTATGCAAACACCTTAAACAAATATGGTGCTTTTTACCAGCAGTATTCCCTTTAAACAGCAGCAATAAAATATTTCTTGTAAATCTCAACATAAACATTAATGTGATCAAATCAATTATTAAACCAGAGCATCCCCGCATAACTAGATAAAGGCCTCTCAGGTAAAGTTATGTAGCCCATAATATTAATTTAAGTAAAATAGGCTACAGCTGTGTAGTGCACACAAGCCATTGCCATGGTTACTCTCAATACAGTGCCTGCCGTTTACTCACAGAGCGCTGTCTTCTCCCACATGCTGCATACAGTGTAGTCTGCTGAAGCCTCCCTCCGCTGCTTGTCTGGGTGGGTGATTTGCAGGCTGATCAATATCCCACCCCTCCTGTGACCCTTGGTTTGACTATGTGTATTCAGAGCCAGTGAGCAACGGACTTTCAAAATAATATATATATTTTTTTTTATGCGTTAACGTGAGATAAAATAATTGTCATCGTTAATTAATTAACGCGTTAACACAATAATAACCCATTAACATGCCCAGCCCCAAGTGTTTTCACATATTTAGATTGACTATTTTACGTGTCCAAAAAATATGGAACCAGGGTGGGGGTTAATAAACCGCGAAAAGAATTCCAAAGATGAAAGAGGCAAATTTACAAGAAATTCCCTTAAATTAAAGTCCCAAAAATCAAAATCACTCTGGTGTTTTCTTCTGAATACCCCCAATCCAGGTGCATAATATTATGATTGTGGGCTAAACTGACGAGTATTTCCTCACTGCTAAATCCGATTGCAAGGTCTAATATAGTAACTTCCCACTGCATGCATAATACACTGCAGAGGTGTATGTGTGTGATGTTGCAGATTTGCAAAGTGAAGTTTCTCTCATAAATGTGTGACAATAATGTCAGAGAATATTCAAGTTTTTTACTTGTAGATTAATCTTGGAAATTAAATTTTGTCTCGGGTTATTACCCGTTTCCGCTGGCTTCATTTTTTTATTATAATGTACCTTATGTGCAGTTGTACCTTTACATCTTAATCATATTACACATAAAAGAAGAGTCCATAAAATAAATAATAGAGAATTAAACTACAATAAGAACACTGTGAAGATAATTACAGATTTACTGCCAACAAGCCTCCCTGGCTTTGTCGTCTGCCACCATATTAGATTTAGCCGTTAACGTGTCTTTAAAATCCTCATATGCTGACACAATTAACATGCATTCTTCTGGGGAAAATACAGAGCATGCGCCATTGTGTAAAAACTCTGCCTGCAGGGCCAAACACGCCCCTTTGATGAAAATGCGCAACAACTCCAATGAAGTTAACACTGACTCAACTTCTTATTCTCCGTCGTAGTATCATTTAACACCAGTGTCACAGTTTGTCAACCCCGAGTTTGCTCGATAATCCCGAGTTAACTCTGAGTAGGTTAAACTCCCTTCATAGTACAGGCCACTGTACAATAACATGCAATCCATTGAAAAAACATCCACAATAAAAACAACCTATATACTGCTTTCAAGTGGAATCCAAATACCGCTCCAGCTTAAACAATTACTACTACAGAGTTTAAATTACACTTGTCTGACACAGTCTCAACCAAAACAGATTACCATAAACCTTTAAACTTACTACTTACTGAAGGGATATAGCATTGGATAATACTATGTAAACAGTCACGGTAATGTGTCCACTCTCAGAGTGTCTAAGTGTGGGTTTCCCAGAGGCAGCTGAAGCCCAAATGTCTGCTATCGCCGGTGGCAAAGATTAATGTAACTTATTTACTTTCCTAACGCACAAGTTGAAGGGGAAGTATAGAAATAGTATTTTTAATAGGCTCATAATGGAAAATCTTACAAGAAAGATACAGGACCCAAGACCGTCTATTTTGAATTCAGAGCACATGTTCTAAGGTGCAATGGGGAGAAATAGGTGTTCATTTGTGAAGGTCGACCCGACTGAAAGCCACAATCCATTTGGGAATGAGGTGAATGCACAACTCCTCACCACAATCCTGCCTACCCATTCTGCTGGATTTCACGGTGGCCCCTCCACACTGAAACCTGGAGGTACTTGCATTTCACACTTGCTGTCACCATGGAAACGACACAAAGAATCTGTTGCTGGATGTTGAACATAACTTTCTGTTCTGTGTCCAAATTAAGGATGAGTGTGGACACACTTCGAATAACAAAAACACAGGAGCACTAATAAATACCTGCCTACGCATAAGGCATAAAAGATAACAAACATGCTGGACATTAACAAATGGATGTTGAAAATGTCTGGATTGTATCAACATGGGCATCTTCATGTGGTTTATTATTGTCCCCAACTGACCATGGTTTTTGGAGTCTCTTACCTGATGGATAATCTCAGACACTGGCAGCTGGTCAGCATAAGAGTACTTCTCTGTTTGCAGCTCTGTATTCACAGCACTGAAAGACAAAACACAGACAAAAGAGCACTCTTTTGACATTTACCTGAAGAAAGTAAATTGTACTTTGGAAACATTAAGCTTTTGTTCTGTGGGACACCATTAGTCAGTGATGAAGAAAAGCTGTCAGGAAGAGAAACAGACTCTAGTGTTTCTGCTGGCAGTGCGAGTGTAGCCAAGGTGTATGTGTGTGTGATTGACAGATCATTTCAGAGTCGAGTCAATGATATGCAGTGCAAAATCATGCAAATGACCCAATTTTTCCTCCCGATATAAATGGGGGGAAATAAGAGTTAAATCATCTTGACAATAATGGATGTGATCCGAATGGGTCCTGTATATAAATAATATATATATTTCACTACAAAAGGAAACACAATTTTGCAGTGATTTTTTCAGCAACCCACTCACCACCTTTTCACTGTAATGATTTTAGAGGTGTTGGTAGAGCTACACACTCGCAAGCCCCCTTAACTACCCACAGTGCACTCTCCACTTTGGTTAGTTTTTCTAAAACCCAAGTGAACATCAATGCAGCAATCAATGAAAGTTATAGGGAGCTGCACTCAACTTCAGTACTCATACAAGGTTGATGTTATATTTGTCGAACGGGTAAACAACCAAATACAGCTAATATTTGTTGTTGATGCTACACAGCAAACATCACCTCTCCACGGCGCCTCATCCGCTAAGATTTTACAAACACCCAGCGCAGTGCTGGTAGCTCTTTGCCAGTTTAAAGAAATACAAATGAAGCATTCCGCTTCAGCTTTTAGTGTGGCATGAGCAGCGAGGCACAGCATTACCTGAATCGACATTAAACAGTGGAAAAAGGCGTCCCACGACGGTCAACAATAAGGGACAAAGCAACACAAAGCATGCAGAAAAGTGAGAGAATATAATATGTGCACAGATACTGGCTCTCAGTGACATGAAGAAAGAAAGAAAAAAAAAAAGCGTGGACTGGCAGCTACTCTGGATTTCAATGTGTTTAAGATTTCTTCCTCAGACAATCCAAATGACCTGAGTCAGTCTGTACTACCAACATTGGGTGGCTGTGATAAACATGTAAACATGGTTATGATATGTATCCTCAGGTCTTATCTCTTCTACTCCACAGATTACACATTTGACTCCTGTAACATTGTCGGCATAACAATGAATGGTTTAAAAAATAAATCAATGCAGCAGAACCAGAGATATCATATTATTCCAGGCACGCTTCTTCCTTGTCAAAACCTGGTGCCTACATTACCCACAGTGCCACAGCTAACATAGCCTCAAGCTGCTAGCCTCAAGCACAGGTGAGGAGTGGGCCACAGAGGTCTGTTAAGCCCACTTCTTTCTAACTGCAAACCACCAGAAACCATGCATTTGTATTTAAGAGTTGTAGTTCTATATATCTATGACTTTCAGAGTATGTGTTTACTGAATTGCAGAGGTATAATTTCAGAAAAAGCTGTTGAAAGTCAGTTGGAAAACTTTGTATGTGTATCCTTGTATTGGAGGCCACTATACAAAGATGAATAACATGATGTAAGGTCAAAACTGTCCATAAAAAAAAGTCCATAAAAGATGGACTGTTCTAACATATTTTTTAGGAAAGCTAATCATAAAGCATATGTGAATTGTGAGTTAGGAATAAAGCAATTTACATTTAAAGTAATGCTCTTAGCTACACCGACTTAATGTATATTAATGAAGTAAGTTGTGGTTCAGTGTCTTGCTCAGGGACATTGAAAAAGGTCACCACACAGCAGTTGATGGATAGACATTACTTAACATGAGACAAGATGTATTAAACCTGTGACCTTTCAGATACAGAACTGGTTCTGTCTGTATCTAGTCACTCAACCTGCTTCCACTGTTCTATTAGAAGCTAGCATAAAAAATAAATAAAATAAAATAAAAAAGGTACAATGTGTAAGCTTTGCCCCAAATTTTTGTGTAAAACGTTAATAAACTAACCATATCAACAGGATGTGAAGTAGAAAGAGTTCTGATGTCATGTCAAAGACGTCTGTTGTGTTGCAGAGATATCAACTGAAGTTAGTATGCTAAGCAGCTAGCCCGGGCTCGTCGTGTTGTAACACCACACGTGTGTTGAGAGACAATAGTCAGTCACAGTAGCGTCCAGTCTGCCCTAAGTCCAACATGAGAAGATGAAGAAGTGGAGCTGCCCTGAGGGTCACAGAAACACAAAGATGGCAAAGAAAAGAAGCAATATACAAAGGTAAAAAAAAAAAAAAGAGTAAATATTGGCGCAGCTTTCCACTGCTGGAGGCAGCTCTTGGTGAGTAAAGAGATGTGGTTTGATGGCTGACATTTCTTTTAGACTCTTAAGTAAATATTTCATATTTAGAGAAATCTCTCTTTAGTGCAACTAGTTGACACCACAAACCGTACCGAAAAACATTCCAAATGCCGTTGATAAATGGTTTGGATGTGGCTGTTTTCTTGCTACTATATGTCTTGCTAAAGCTAAACTAAGCAAGCTATAATGAAAACTCTAAGGCCAACGCCACATGTGCTATTACTATTAGTTAGTGGTTGGATATTTTATAACTGATTAATCTTAATATGTCTTAACTGTACAAGTCTTGAACAGTGTCTCACTGCAACTAGTAAATAATAATGTTTTTGAATCAAGCCTGGGCCCTTTGCTGCAGGTCTTTCCCGCTCTCTCCCTGCCTTTCCTGTCTCTCTCTACTTCCGGAAATGCCAAAATCTATAAAAGAAAAGAAAGTTTACATAAGTGACCTGATTTTAAAGATTTACATCTTCAGTATAAATGGCCGCGGGGCTGAGAGCAAAAGACAGTCTGGAAAGTCGGAAAGTATTCAGAGGCAGACAAGTGCATTGTAGATTTTGGTCTTTCCACTGGATTTGTTGACAGTAACAAAAAATGTAAAATATGACCTGCCTTATCCTAGCTATATTGGCAAGGGTTTTCTCATCAGCATAAATCAAATTGGGTTCACAAATTAAAAAAAAGACAATGCAGAAAAATGTTTCATTCTCACCAGTACAGGCTGATTTACTTTACTTGACAAAATCTTTTCTTTCTGGTGTGAGATTTATTCATTTAGTAGGAAATCTTAGTAATGGATTAAAACTTAACTGCAACACCTTCAGTACAGTATTAGCTAAATGACTTGGGTGACCTTCCCCTTCCCCACAAATCGCATTTGGTCACCCCTTCATTGCTTTTCTGGAAGAAGTCCACATCGATTTGAATAGTAACTCTCTTAGAGGATTGCTCTAAAGTGGTTACTATTTGTTTTGTCACCTTGAACCCTCTTAACTATGTTAACTATGTGTTCTTGTGGGTTTACTATGTTCTGTAGCACTGGCTATATTTTATGTGACACTGAAACATATAACTGCGTCAACTTTGTGAACTCTAAGAGATTTGATAAATGTGGCAAAAAAAAGGAAAAAGGAAACTGTCAAAATAAAAAATTACATCTAACAGTTCAAACACTTGTTGAACCCGTTACAACTATACACCAGCACGCCACAATTGCCACGGGCAATATGAATTGCTTGTATGCATGTTTGTCTTCAGTATCACTGTCTGAAACAGAGTCAGGAAGAAGAGTCTAAGCTAAAGGTCACTGTTGAGTGGAGGTTCAACTGAGTGACTGTCTTAGGCAAATCAAAGAAAGTTCATGTCAGACAGCTGCCATATACAGTGAACCACCATGGATCTCCTCAAACCACCTGCTGTGTAAAGAAACACGTTCTCTTTGTCTCTTCTCTCTGAGCTGCTTTTGCTCAACATTTTGCTTTGTGGCTTTTGCTCCCTCTCCCTTCCTTCTTTATTTTCCTGTCTTTATCCCTTTCAACTCCATTTCTTCGCCCCTTCTCTCTCTTCTCACAGCATCTGTGCGGTAGAGCAGAAGTTTCTCTAACAGACAGGAAAACAGACTGAAGAAAACAGGCCGGACGGCAGGCAGGGAGACGGTCTCCTGCTGAGCCCTCTATGTGCGCCAAGCTCTTTCTGTCAGTGGAAACACGTTGCTAAGAGCACGGACGTCTCACCACTGATTCCCCCCTTTTTCACTTCAGAGATGAGCCCTAATTCAATTCAGACCACTTTCCACTTTATGTTTTCCATAAAGAGATTTTTTTTTTGGTCCACTCAGCTGATTCTAATGGATGTGTCTGCCCCTCCCCAGCTCGAGCTCTGGTATCACTGCTGTCTCCAGCTGCCATCTTTAGGTCAAACAAATTTCCTTTTAACATCTGCTCTACTAATGCCCCAAGTAGTTTTTGAAGACTCTATCCTGCACTGCTGGTCAGAAATGAGATAACATTTACTTTTAAACTGAATGGATTATGAATTCAGCTTGAATTTGATACTTGTTATTGTCCGGGGAAGCTTGTAACCCATATGTCTTGGTCAACAGTGACCTATAGCTGGAAGAGGGTAACTACACAATGTCATTACACTGTTAAGCCTATGTATAATGGACAGGATAGAGGGGATCCATTACAACGTCCTCTCCATCAAGTGCAATTCACTTAATGGAAGAGCCTGTTCTGAGGGAAAACGGCCGTTTAGAAATGGGTGAGAGGAGAGAAAAAGAGAGGGATGAGAGCGAGAGGAGAAAGCAAGCGAGCAAGAGAATGACTAAGAGACAAGCATACACACTTGAACGCACACAAACCTATCTTCTCTAAATATCCTCCTCCACTTGTCTGAGTGGCCGAATGACAAAAGTGGATTAAAACAGCACAATATTTAATAATCGTTCCAGAGAACCTCTGTGATATTTTGTCTGAGGGAACACAGCTCACTCCAGCCGTATGTCTTATGAAACACTATTATTTAATTTTACCAGTGGTGTCCTGACAAGGGTCTCATAAGGATCCCGTGTCTCTTAGTAATTGGCTTTTGAGATGATCCAGATGTGTTGGTAAAAGGTTTAGGTCCCAATTCATGAGATTTATTTATTTAATGGAGGAGGGATGACTACTGTAAGTAGGGCCTCAACTGACGAAAAAGATTAAGTGAAAAATGCCCTTTAGAATAAAAAGGTGACAAACTGAAATTGCTAGTTTCAACCAACCAATAGACTAAAACTCAAACGATATTCAGTTACTATCTTTTGTGACGAAGAAAAGCAGTAAACCCGTACATTTGAGAAGCAGGAACCAGCGAATGTTTGGCATTCAGGATATCAGGACAAAATAGTTATAAATAGTTGCTGTTGAAATAGTTAATTTTGTATGGATTGACTAGTCAATTAATTGACTTTTTTTCCCCACCACTACCGGTGATCATATCTAGAACGCACATGTGATGTTTCATCCCATGTAATCACAAGCCCAATTACCTACTGAATTTCTGGCACACTTTCTGGTTTTTCCTATGATTTATTTCCAGAGACACACTTGTATGCATTTTTGTGCATAAAGCTGCATTTTCTGTTACGGATCAGTTTCAGTTTTGCGCAACAACAGAAACCGTAAAGACTTTTGCTAACCCTGATATATGCCAGCTGGTTCACAACAACAATCATTAAACTCATATGATGAAGGAAAAAAAGAGAAAAAACTACTAGCTACTTTAATTTCATTTTACAGGTGATGCAGTTATGGCTAACCTGCCTTTGCTTAACTGTTATTATGTATAGTGAGTTGCACATATAATTTCCAGATCTATGAGAGCACAGCAAATATTTTATTACCTACTCCCCCATGCAATATTAATCACGTCCAGCACTTATTGCTAACGACACTGTAATGTGACAAAAGTATCGTTAGCCTACCTACAATCTGAACTCTCACAACAGCATTTTCTTAAAAATAGAAAGACCCTGCTAGTGCTTTGCTGCATCAGTAAACCCCATTAAACTTCAAATGAATCAGGGGATTGCTGGTTTCTTACATCAGAATTGGAGATAAAAAGTCTCTCTCTAGGACTGAATTAGGGCAACGGGCAGCTCGATAACACTGGTGGTGCGTTTCTGTGTTGCACTGGGGATCAGCAGAAGAATATGTTAGCCCTAATCAATACCAAAGTAAGGGGAAGTTGTGTGCAATGACTAACTCGCCTGAGGCCAAAACAGCCGATGACTAAAATCAGTATGGCAATTGCCTCTAATTACTAATTAGCATCCAACTGCATTAGATTCTTTGACTATAATACCTCCCAGTGGTTCAATTAAATCCCAGCTTAATGAAATTAATAAGGGGGTGGGGGGCAAAATCATGAATAAAGTTTTTATTTTTCATCACATCTGTTTGTAGAGCACCACAATCTATTCTTTAACTGCAGCCAAGTGAGTCAATACATGGAGTCCTGTTGTCGTGCTTTAGCTGTGTGTTTCCTCAAACCTCTGGTGATTGTCCTTATTATGGGATTAGTGTGTCTGGGAACTGGCTAATATGAGCAAACTAAGAAAATGTCACTAGGCACAAAGAATTTTGAGCAGGGGACGTTTAAGGGTTTGACAGCTCTCTACAGCCATCTAGTGGTCAAATGTATTTATCACAGCATGTGTCAACTGGTGCAACGAAAGACTGAAATGGACTTGGATATATTTTGGGCAGTTCACCACAGGGTGGCCTCATAGATAATCCATCAGTAACACTGTTGCTCACTCAGTGCCACATTTGAAGAGTCACTGAATTAGAACCTGAGGCCAGACAAGGAAAGTGCACAATTATGAGCTTAGCTTTGCTGTGAAGTGAAGCATTCCTTTGCTGGTACTACTTATAAATAGCAGTAAATATACTATCTAAATGAACTGTTATTTCCTCCAACGATCACGGTCGTCATGTTATTTAATTTTAGCAGTGGTGCCTAGACAGCGTAGTGATGTTTTTCGAGATGGTCCAGATGTGTTGGCAAAAGGTTTAACAATGCAAACGCCCAATTTATATGAACTGCATTTATTTGTGGGAGGTGGGATGATTATTGTAAATGGGGACGCAACTAACAATTATTTAAATTACTGATAATCTGCTGATGATATTCTTAATTAACTGTTTGCAAAAATGATTAAGTGAAAAACACCGTTTATAATAATGGTGACAAACTGTAATTGCTAGTTTCAGCCAACTATTAGTCTAAAATAAACAATATTCTGTTCACTATCGTGTAGGGCAAAGAAAAGCAGCAAATCACCCTGAGCATGTCTCAACCTGGAGCATTGAACAAATGTACTACATTTCATTTGGGTGTATTTTGTGCAGTTCACCACAGGGTAGCGTCACAGAGAATCCATCAGTAACACACTCAATGCCACTTAGAGTGACTAAATTATAACCTGAGGCCAAACAAAGAAAACGCCCAATTATATTCTTCCCTTTGCTTTGAAATAGCATTAAGTGCTAGATATCGATTATACATAGCAGTTAATACAATCTAAAAGAGCTATGTGATTGCCTCAAACGGTCATGTCATTGGTCAGCCTTACAATCAGGTCTTAAATCACCTGCAGGATAGTCATACCATGTGGTTTACTCTCCCAGAAACAGGGCACTCTATACATCATTAGTAGAGAAATCAATATCACTAATGTGAGCTATTCTATCTAGCTATTCTACAATCGAAGTCTAGTTAGTTGGGAACCAAACAGAAAACGAATTTGTCCCCCAGCACTTCAATTAAAACCAAGAGAAGTTGGACTCAATTAAGGTTTTGCCCCCAGTCCACTTCAGAAATTGCACAGTTTTAGAGCAAAAAGTAACACTAATTGCCCCAGGATTACTGTTATATCATTTATTATTTGCATTGCAATGATAATTGCAGTGCAAAATAATATAATTATATGTTTTTCAGTCCCCTTACCAGATATAAAATTTGAGTTTATAATATTATTACATAGTTTAAAGTAGAATCAAGTAAAAATTAATTCAAATAGGTCTATATATTTAAAAAAGTAGAATTTGATTTGTCAAGCCATATTGAGATTGTTTTCCAGGTGGCATTTATTAGCATACCTTAAGTCAGGGTTTAAGAGGCTGGAGAATTATTGGTGTTTCTATATCTCATATAGAAACATATGCAAGATGTTGCATATGCAACATATGCGAACTACTGTTTGAGCTTTGCAACTTCGCTTAAATGCACAGTGTGTAATTTACTAGGGGTCTCTCACATCAAAACAATAACGAAAGAGGTAGTTTGATGTTGTCCTGAAGTATCGTGGGATCATGGTCCTCACCACCATTTTAGACATCTTAATGTGAAAAGGTTACGTATTATATCTTTAAGCAAAACATCCAGATAACAAAGACTGCAACACACACTATTTGACCAATTTGGGTTATCTTCAAAAAGCTGCTATGCATATTATAAGTACTCTCACATAAGAAAAAGTAAAAATAATGATAGAAAAAAAAGTCAGCTTACTTCTGCTCCACCTGCTTGATGGGGTCGGGCAAGATGATAGTTTCCATGGTGATCTCAACTTTGCGGACACTACCAAAGAAATCTGTGATGAGGACACTTCCTGGGTCCCTCAGAAAAAGGTCCGTACGGTGGCCCGGAGTGGACACACACTGACTCTTGGGACATACTTTGAACTGGTAAAACAGACAAAACACAAGCAATGTATTAGAAATATACAACACAGCCAGAGTTGGGGGCTCTATTCCCATTAGAGCATTTAGTGTGTAAATACTGTAAATATCTACTCATGGTTCTGTCAAGAGCTTTAGCTAAAAGCTTTGATTGGTGTAAGTCACTTTTTCCAGGAGAGAGGGGAATTTAACAATCAGACGGTGTTTAAGAGTTTGTGTCTCCTACTTTTCATCCCATAGATTGCGAGCCACAGCTAGTAGCCAGCTGCATCAAACATGGCTAGAGCTGCTGGGAGGTGTTAAAATATGTGACAGTGTGTGGAGAAGATTAGAGGCATGGAGCCTGACATTTGTGCATGGCATCATCAATTACAAATGTTTCCATGCCTCTGTGGGTTAATCCTCTTGAGCGTGTTATTCCTCAGTGTGTTGTCCGACTGGGCTCTCCATTTGAACATAAAATAAAATAGTTAAACCGAAGTGAACATTATCTCTCTCAGCCAAACGGACCCGGATTTTGTTGGGAAGGTGGATGCAATTTCTGTTTCATCAAAGGGCAAGCCATTGCAGATTTAAAACAAGAAAACTTGGTAGGCTTGTCTGGGAAATCCATAGTATTGACCCTTAATTCCACAAAATAGCACAAGAACAAAGAGTGCATCTTCAAAAAAGGAATATTGGAAAGAATAATAAGCTTTAGTCAGATAACATTGATTGAGCTCAGACTGAGTGCCAGAGTAAGGATTTGAGGTGTTTTGATTGTAACTCCTGGTGAGGCAAATTGGTGGTGGGGATGAGGAGTGGTCACTGGGGCCAGTAGATGTCCGTAGGAGTGTAAAAGATGAAAAGGGAGGTGCTGCTGAGACTGAGCCGTGGCCCGGAGCAGCATGTACTCACCATCACCACCGACATGTGTCAAGGGCCAACAACCTTAACACAGTATCAGACATTCTGCTTCAAGTGCAGAGAACTGTGTGACTTTCATCTAGCTCCTTTAGGACCAGACACTTTATAACACTAGACAGAAGAGGAGGGCAGCGCAGGACAGACCCTGTGTCTCACTATAAAAAGGTACCAAACCACAAATGTTTTCACAGGAGTCACCTCTGCCACAGCCCATAAAAAATTTAACTACAGCTAGCAATTAATTAATAACGATGAATATAATAATTATTTTGGGTTAATAGATTACCCCACATCGAGAAAAGGGCCAATCACAATTTCTCAGTAGCAAAATAGAAGTCTTCAAACTGCTTGTGTTGTCTGACAAAACCCACTGATAATCAAGTTAGAGCTGAGTAAATACCTAAAACCATCCAACGAATGTTTGGGCATTTTTGCTTATATAAATGTTTGATACGGTTAACTATTATTAAAATGATTGTCTATAAATTTAGTTTAGTCATTCGACTAATTGTTTCATCAACTAATTGTTTGAGCACCACTGTAGTCTCACTCCCTGGAAGTGAATAAAGGGGGGGCGTCGTAGCTTTAAGTAAATACTCAGATAGAAAATAGAAAGCACATTTATAAAATAAACGATGTGTTTATGTAAAAAAGACATCTACTGCTTCAGTGTGTAACATGACATATAAAAGTAGCAGAGGGCACAAACACTAACATTTATTAGTGCACACAGTACACTAGTGCTGAATGGATTAGTTGATCCAATTATCACTTGTTACTTGAAAAAAATGTTTAGATCATTGATTTAACTTGAATACCTTTGGTTGTGGACTGTTAATTTATAAAATCACCTTGGAAGCCTAGGAAACTAATGGGCATATTTCACAACTTTCTGGCATTTTTAGAGACAAAACAATTAATCTCTGAATAGAAAAAACATCACTGATAAACAATATTAACGTTAGTTGCTGCTCTGCAGTACACATGTACTCTCTGATGTTGGGTAAAAGGCACGCACACAAGTACACATCCTCACCAGGTCATTCATGTTGGCTTTGCTTGCAGGGTGGATGTCCTCCAGGAACTCCAGCAGGTAGAAGGTGTAACGGTCCATCAAATGGACGCCTATGGCCAAATCTGGCTGGTGCTGGAGAAGGACGGGAGGAAGAGAAATACAAGAACAACAACATTCAATATCTAACAGCACTTCATCAGCACAGGTGATTTGATGGCACTTCAAGTTTTGGTTCAGAACTCCTCCCTTGTTTTAGACACATTTGGATGATCAAAACAAGGTAAATGTCTTGTGTCATGCCCCACAAATAATTCCTTCTCCAAAAACAAGAATATGTCACTTTGTTAAGATGCACAATTAAAGTGTGCGGTGTGTTTTGATTATACCATCTGGATCTGATCGGTGAAGTTAATTAGTGACTAGCGGTGGCAGGGTACGATAAAGAGTGACTGCCATCACCTTAAAAACTACACAGTGGGTGAACAACAGTGCATCTTTTGGATTCAGAGATGGTGTCAGGAAGAAATAACTAGCACCAACACGAACTGCCGGGTAATGACATCAAAAGAAAAATATTTTGACAACTTGTGTTCAAACTATGCCCCTTTTGAATCACCCCTAATCAGTGTGGAAAAGTGTGTAATGACAAGCACCACGGGTGTCATTCTTTAATGGGGAGAGGAAACAGATGTCCAAAGCACATACGGTTTCAGCTGAGAAGTCTCTGTAAAAGAAAGCAGCTGCAGCCAACATGAAAGCTTTCTCATTGAGTAAAATAAAAGACTTGACTCATCACCCGCTCCAAATCCTGGCACCACATCACTCCAGTCCTAAAACAACTACACTGGCTTCCCATTTCTCACCGGATCACATACAAAATCCTGGTACTTACCTACAAAGCCATTCACCACCTGGCCCCTCCATACCTCACTGTCCTCCTCTCCCCCTACCAACCCTCACGGTCCCTCAGATCCACCTCAGCCGGTCTCCTCTCTGTCCCCAAGCTCAGCAGTTTTGGGGACAGAGCCTTTTCCCGGGCAGCTCCCAGGCTCTGGAACTCCCTCCACCATGAGATCCGCACCTCTGAGTCCCTCACCATTTTCCAGTCCCGCCTTAAGACCCATCTCTTCACCTCTGCCTATCCGTTACTGTTGCTGCCAGATTTAATCAGTTGTTGCTAGCTAGGCCCTACTAAGCTAATCTTAGTTCCATGAGTTGGTTGAAAAAGCTTAACCCAGGTAACTCTTTATTGGTGGCGTTTTTTTTAAATAAGACTCTTGGATCTGCACTTAATAGCTATATACATGATATTGTGCTAACAAGGCTAAAGCTACATGTCCGAGGCAAAAAATTAGCAACCTCAGCAGAAAGTATGTATGTAGAAGACACAGTATTTCAGTACAGGGCTGGTTAGTCCTGGTATTTTTAGTACAAAAGGACAAATTTAAGATCATTTTATTATTTAGTTAAAACATAATGCTGTTGGGCCTGCTTATCTTATACTTATTAAGAAGTAGGTTTTCAGTTTTATTGTTTCAAGAGAAAAGGATTCAGGACGAGGACTAAATGTTGTAATTAGAAAATGTTACCTACAATGATCTGTGTGTAACATTGACTGCAGTTGCTTAACTTTCCCAAAGCACTCTAAACAGAAATTTGTTTTGTGTTTCATGTTTGGAGAAGGACAATTTGAATTATGGGGTGTGTTTTTATGAACATAGCTTTGTCTTCAGCTGCAATGTGCCGTCACACCACACCACTTATTAGAAAACAGACAAACTGATTGATGGTTTTTAATTAATTTCTTCTACATAAGGGCAGGTAACTCACCGACAGGGAGTCCTCTCCAACCTGACTGCTGGCCAAAGCCATGATGTTTGGAGAGTAGAACCTCTCATACATGGAGGCGCCCTGACAGGTGTCAATGATGAAGAGCAGCTCATTGTACCTGGAGACACGTGCGCACACACACACACACACACACACACAAACATCATGTACAGTCTCAAACAAAACTAATGAGAGAAGAAACAGCTGGCATAACACTCATCCATTTGTTCCAATAAAACCTGGTTACTGGCACAAACCTTCAAACCATCTTTCATACTGCAGTTGTCATGGTGACCAAGAAAAACCAACAGCTTCATTCAGTTCCTCTAACACACCCACACACAGTTTCTCCCTTGTTTCCCTCCTTCCTCTGTTTCTTGCCTCTAGGAAAGAGAAATTTGGCTTTAGCGTCTTCCCGGTGTTTAGGCAAACATGATAAGACTTTTATATCGAGTTGACTGAAGTGAGGTGGTTTGGGGACTATGAAGGTAGGTGGCCAAGTCTCTATGGTGACTGTAATTTGTCAGTTCAAGCCTGCAATTATCACATCAGCATCAAAGCCGGCGTCACTAAGCTTTTATCTAGTGGCCTGGGGTAACTGACTCTATTGATAGGTCTGGGGGACAATAGAGGCGCTGGTAGCAGAAAGCCACTTTTGCTCATTTAGTGACTCTCAACACAGCAGCGCCTAAACTAATCAATTCATAATAAACACTTCATAAGAGGTTGTGTTGGTATATTTATGGTATATAATAAATATCCTGTGCGATACAGTAACATATGATGCGTTACCTTAGTTTAATAGATCGGGAATCTATGGAAACGAGTCAAATTTAAGGCAGTTTCAACACACAATTCTGTTAAATACTGTTGATATAAAGCTGTTATGATCAATATTTTTATATTAATTATCAAATGACAGTTTAATTTGAAAAATCTCATTGTTTTTGTTTTACAATCCACACTTTACTGTTTTGGTTCCCTCTCACCACACCATAAGGCCAGCGAGTCAATTCCCATGTGACATCACTACTGTTGGGTGTGATTGCAGGTGTTACTTCTGACCACAGTGACACTGGATGTTTAGAGATGCAACTCACTTTCCATCAGAGATGACAGTGAAACACTGTCTTTTAACCTGTTGTTAGGTCAATTAATAACAGCCCTGCATAAGGAACATGCAGTATGCACTCATGTGAGAATCAACATACAAAATGCACTTGTACCCTGGGTAGTGTATTAGCAAAGGGCTATTGGATTTCTGTGTGACAAAAATGTGTATATGGTAACTCCCTAAAGCACTGCATTAGAAGACCAAAAAAAAAAAATCCATCTCTTCCAGCGAAACTCCTCCAGAAGACGTTCACATCCAAAGGTTGCAAAGTTTCATGCCATTAAATGCTTGTTACCATGCTGCACAGCTAATTAGGCCTCAGGAGAAGAAGTGAAGTGGAGAAACACAGTATATGATGTTATGTCACGAGGCATTCATCTTATATAACTTTCCAGTTATTTTACCTTCTTTTCTGCCACATCTGTTCAAACGCGTCAGCCAGTTCCACGTTACTTATCTCCTCAGAGTCCTGGAACTTCAGAAAGCCATTCCCACCATGGCCTGTTAAACACATATCAATAATTCATTCTCTTGATTCATAATGCAAAAAATACGACACAGGATGCAAAATGACAAGATACATGAGAAGAACTGGCAGCAGTGCGCACTGTGTGAGAGAAATGACAAACTCTGCGTGGCTACTTTCGTAATGAATTACACAGTGAATTATAATAGATCAAAGCACTGATCATCACACAGGAAACAAATATAAGAGTGTAAGTGAAGTATTTGGAGGTAAATATGTCTTTTAATTACCTGTCAGGTATATGAGGATGTTGCTTCGGTCATCAGAGAGGAGGCGTTTTGAGCGTGGAGTACTGGGTGGCAGCCTTCCAGTCAAAACACGGAGGAAGTTCTCCACTGTCACCTGAAACATGGACAGGATACAAAATGCCATCAATTTTCATAACTTAGAATTGAGTGGAACCGATGAATTATGCAATATACATCTTCTAATTTAATGCACATATACAAAGGTTTAAGAAAACAGTCAGCAATTTAACTAGTCAAAACATTTACCAATCGAAACCATAGACTGTATAGAAACACTAGCACATTTCATAAACTAAACCTTGCATCAGTATGGTCAGTATGACATACGGTAATAGACAAATATTTTTGTCCTGTTTTACTTATCTTTTAATTAAACTGTGAAAATCAATTACTAATTGTATTCTTTTCTTCTTTCCCCCCCCTCTTCAGTTTTATCAGCTTTTCTTGCACACAAATACTAATCATGGATTGGCAATGCGTTATTTATTCATATTTAAAAGACCAGCTCAAAGCAAAGTAAATAATCAAACACAAAGAGAGATAAAGAGTGAATACACCTGTGGGAATCTGCTTTGCCATGACAAAAAACACTTAGGTGTACCTGTATTTGAAAATGCACACGATATCAAGCAATTTCCTGGTAAACAGAGAGAGCAAACACTGGACAAACAGCAGTGACCACAGCCCCCTACTGCACAAGTATAATAGCTGTCTACATAAAAGATTATATTAAAGACACTGCTTATACCCCTTTACACCTGACATTGACACACACGAAATTATTCATAACCCTGGCAAATTCTGACTTAAAGTTACTTTTATTCAACCAGCAAGTTGTTTCTTGATTAGAAATGGCACAGGCGTCTCCCAGAAAATAATAAGACGATGTACAAAAAATAATTATTACTCTTCTTTTATTTACATTTGAACAAAAAGTGGCATGTCCAAAATTAACTGTCACAGTCTATGGGAAAATCAAAAGATCTATACCATTCCAAATAGTCCAAGCTGTTCTAAAGCATCCTAATTACCCTGAGTCATTGGGAACAGCTGTCTTAATCAACTCAACAGGTGAAAATCAGAAGCTCTCTGCTGTTGGTTTTTGGACAGTCATGGCTAAGACAAAGGAGCTCACTGAGGACCTGCGGCTACGCATTGTGGCTGGCCACAAGTCAGGAAAGGGCTGTAAGACCATATCTAAATGTTTTGAAGTTCCAGTGGCTACAGTGCAAAGTATTATTAAAAAATACAAGACGTTCTACACTGTGAAAAATCTCAGAGGATGTGGTCGGAAGCCAAAAGTGACACCTGTGCTGGCCAGGAGGATGGTGAGAGAGGTAAAAAAAGAATCCAAGGATCACCACCAAGGCCATCCTGATTAATCTGGGCTCTGCTGGTGGCAACATCTCAAGGTAGCGGCGTGCAGTGTCCAACGGACACAGACCAAGGAGGGCACCACTTCTCCAGATAAGGCACACAAAAGCCCGCTTGGCATTTGCAAATGCTCATCTGGACAAAGAAGAAGACTTTTGGTCTTCTGTTTTATGGTCAGATGAAACAAAAATTTAATTGTTTGGCCACAATGATGTAGTCTTCATTTGGCACAAAAAAAAGGAGCAGCCTTCAACCCTAAGAACACCATCCCCACTGTCAAACATGGTGGTGGGAACCTAATGTTTTGGGGTTGTTGTTCAGCCAGTGGACCAGGGAACCTACTCACAGTAAACGGCACCATGAAAAAGGAGCAATACATCAAAATTTTCAACAACAACATCAGGCAGTCTGCACAGAATCCATGCCACTTTTTGTTCAAATGTAAATAAAAGATGAGTAATTTTTTGCACAATGATGCCTCTTGTATATCGTCTTATCTTCTGGGAGACGCCTGTGTCATTTCTAATCAGGAAACAACTTGCTGGTTGAATAAAAGTAACTTTGTCAGAATTTGCCAGGGGTATGAATCATTTCGGGCTCGTGTGTGTGTATAATTGTAGCTAAAGTTTTAAAAAGGAGATATACTGGTTCAAAGTCTAGACAATGGGGTAGTAATTTAGAAATCCTTTTGGAGCAATCTGCCCATTTCAGCCTTCAACATATTGACATGTAGAAATTTGCCTTTAAAAGGCCAGTGGAAAATATACTGAAAAGTAAGAGGTCATTTAAACACCTTGTAAAGCACAGAACTGAGTCGCTATAAATTACATTTTTACAGTTGTGTGTTTAACTGCCTGATTGCAATGTGGACCGACCTCATATCCCCGGTAGTCTACCTCCACATCATCACCGTACACATTCAGCTCCATGTTCTTGTGGCTAAACACTGTGGCAGGTTTGGGGTTTCTGTGGTTACAAGCCATGTCGTCAGCCAGCATGAGAACTATGTGGCTGGAAAAAGAGAAAATCATAGAGGCCATTTAAAATGATTAAATCTGAAAATAAGTGTGAGGACTAATGCAGCACTCATGTTGTCAAACAAGTGTTGTCATTAAATACCATTATAGTGAGGATTGGTGACATTACATTTTGCAGAAACTTTTTTTTCAAGCGACTAAACATTTTCTTTCCACATACACGGGAGAATTAATTCGGGGTTCCGTGTCTTGTTGAAGCACACATCGACAGGTGTACAGGGTCAGGGATTGAACCACAAACTCTATAACTTAAGGGCCAACCCACCCACCATCCCCACATCCAACATTAACCCTGATATCCCCACTTCAGGTATGGCAGGGGACCTGTCACATGTAATCCTTTTGTCTCTCACTCTCCATGTTCCTTGTTGCTCTCTACAGATCTACCCTGTTTAAGGCAGAGTAGCCACATAAAAACTGCATGTTGGAGAAGATCTTTATGAATTTGTATATTTGTTTATATGGACATGCATTACTTATACTCTTAATTGTCCCCATGATGTGAATGATCACAGAATTATAAACTATGTTCCTCTCTACTCTAATACCAATACAACGATAGTCAGATGACTAGTTAAAAATCAAGAAGACAGAATATACAGTTGTAGTGTATGTTCTCATGTTGTGGAAACCACGACTGGTCAATATCTGACGTTTGAGAAAAAGGCTTATAACTGCTCTTAAACTTCAACACCTCATAAATATATGTTATGCCTGATGCCTGTCTGTACTTCTAGATTAATATCACAATTAATTATCTTAAGATGACACAATAAATTTGAAATAAGGAAGATAAAAGTTTTATCAGTCACCTGTCAGGAATGCCCAGCCTCTTAACACTTCTGTAGACGGACAGAGTATTAGCCACATGACGGTAGTTGAACCAGAATCTGGATGTACACACCTGTGTATCACACACATAAGATGCAAATGGAGAAAAGCCGATGTGTCAGGCATAAACATGTTTCTGCTGCCCCCATCATTTATGCAGAAAAACCATTAGCATGTACTCAGCCTCTTGCAAAGATGCAACATCAATGAATACTCACCAGAACAGCCCAATTGTTAGTATGACCACTGCTGAAGAACTGCCCTGCGTTGTCCTGAAGAAGAGAGAGAAGAGAAGAGAGAGAAGAGAACAAGAGAGGATAGTTAATAAATATGTGTTTTTCTTAATCTGGTTTCACCCATAGACTGTAGGTTTCACCTCGTATAAGCATCCAGACTCAAAAAAGCAGCTAGCATGACAGTACAGGAGGCTAACACTGGGGTGACATTTCAGGAGAAATTCAACATAAAACAAACACATTGGCGGGATATTCATAGCTGCACGCCAATATACTATACACTCACCTCGATGTTAATGCTGTTCGCTAATAAAAATATTGAAAATAAACTCAATAAAGTGAGGACTTTCATTGTGCAGCACTATTAGCTGTGTCCAATAAGGAAGTGAAAACCGGCGGCTCCGCCCAGCAAACGCTTCCGGTAGGGGACATTTCAAAACAAAAGCTTCGAGATGGAGAACGTGAATGGAAAAAATCATATATTTTTAAACTTGTAGAAAGAGAGCATTGGGTAAACATCATTATCAGTAAACTGCTCCACCTGAGGATCAAATGCCAAGACATTTTATGTTCGAGCTGCTATGGTCTTCTATGGTCGAGCTGCTAAATCACCCGGGGTGATTAAAAGCAAAAAACCACAGATACATAAACAGTCTCCAAGACGTAAATGCATTGCATACATGCTAGTGACAGAAAGAAAAATAACCATATGAATGAATGAATTCAAAACTCTGTAAAGTATTTAAGAGATAATAACTGTACAAAAGCAGATCCTTTTAGTTGACCGTTATAAATATGCTAATGTACATGTATAAATATATGTTACTGTCTTTCTTAAAAGTCTTTTGTAAATAGGCTATAGTTTGAAAACAGAACTATATTGTTGCACGTATAAAATGTATTAAATATTAAATGCATATATGAAATGTGTTTTAATTAACTTAATATTGGTGGATCAGTGCTGATAAGATTACTGAGAGTGACTCCTAGTAGAGGCTGTTTGTGGTTGTCAGATGACACAGCTTGTGTATGGCTTATCATTAAATGTACAGATGCAGAATTCTTCCAGGAGTGAACAAATCGATTTCAAAGCTAAAATCAATAGAACCAGGATTATAATTCATAACAGTAAGTGCACATATGGGGACCACTCAATGGGATATGACGGGAGGATAATTTAATGGACTTGCAAATTGGACTTCATAGTGTTTTCTCATTCCATCTCTAGCAAAAGTATTCATATTCCTGCAAACCAGTTGACTGCATGTCTCGATATGGTCATACTATATGGCTGGTTAGCTGATTAGACATCAAATGACAGTGACAACTTTATATTCAAATGCTCTCTCCAGCTAATTGGTAAGGGGCTTCATAATGAGAAGTGACATTGATATTGCAGGCAGCAGATGTCAAAATATGTGTCATGTTACTGCTGAAGAGTCTGGAAGCACTGCATATATTTCTTGTAATTCTAATGTAACATTACAGCGTAGCGAGTAGAAGGTCTGGTGGAAAAGCAGCATCAAAATCAGTTTTGACACAGCGCAGGGCGCCTTTACAGGTCTGCCAACAATTTAATTCTCTGGGCATCTCCAACTTCTGCTGCTTTTTGACCTGCAGCATCACCCTCGCTTTGCCTGCTCAGAGCTCAACATAGTAATGCCTCCTCCAAATGCATCACTTCAGTCAAAAATTAAAAAAGGACAGATTGTGCGCCAACAAAACAGTTCTCAGTCGCCTGAATCTCATCATTATTCCATTTTCAATCCATCTATTAACATTTTACTGTCAGGCTCTTTGGTCCTCGGCAATGACTGATTCTTGGTCACGCATGAAATGTTTTTCAGTTGGAATGAGCCTCACTTTCTAACACACTGAAGTAATCTACAGTTGTTCTGTGATATAACCAACAAGGAGAAGTCAGCTGTCCAGTTGTCAAGAGGATTAGTGGCCTATAAGAATCAAATCCTATGGGACAAACCAGGCAATCAATCTGGCCTATTCCTGTGTTGCCTAAAAAAGCATTGTCCATGTGACCAGTGGAATTCAACTTTTGAACTTTTTGATTCCAAGGAACAAAAACTAAAGATATACATTGTTATGTAAGTTAAATGTTGATCTGTAACCAAAGGCATGCATCCATGGCTGCATTTAGCTGCACCAAAAGGTTTCATTGTTTTACTTTGTACCTATGATGCGGTCAATCAAATATTTTGGGATGTTATGCTTATCCTAAGTTATGACAAGTTATTTAGTTAGTTAGTCATTAGTTTTATTCTATGAGACACCTTGAAATAGTGTCAAGATGGTGAGCTTGAGGGGCCATTGTTGATATCGTAAACAATAGGTTAAGAATACAAACAAGGAATTAAAGAAATACTCAGGAAGGATATGAACAGAAGTTATTTTCTTTATCCATATTACCCAATTAAAAGCACCTATAGATTACTGTAAATCACATTTTTATAAATCTTTGCCCAATGAGCCTTCTGTGCCTTATCAATTAAATATCACCACTAAGTTCACAGGCTGACTGTAAACGATCAAAGCACACCGAGGCGGTGCGTGCGTTTTTTGGCACTGCGCGCAACCTCTGTGCCAACGTCAAGGCACACATGGTGCGTGCTGGAAGAGGAGCGCTGTAGGAGGGAAGACGGACGAGCCACGCATCCGCATCACAGAGGAGGGTGGCGCGGTGGCATCGCCTGCAGGAATCCAGTTGTAAAGTGCACGCACGAGGCAAAAATGCGCTGAGGGGAAGCTCGGTAGTTAACCAAAGATTACCTTACGACACTGAGACACCTGAGGGGGAAAAAAACCCGCCCCGGACAAGTTCAAGTATCCGACTGGAGATGAATACCAACGATGCCAAGGAGTACCTCGCGCGGCGGGAGATACCTCAACTATTTGAGGTGAGAGCTGTTGTGCGCTTCGTGGGGATGAGATGGTCGTGAATGGTCCGCTACGTGCAGATTTGACAGAGTGATTTTTACACATCGATGCATTGTCAGAGTCACGGAAGAGACCACTTTATGATATGTAGCCTACTACATCTTGTTATGGCTGATGGAGGAGCGAACATGAGCGTCTCTCTGAAAGCTTCTTCTTTTACCTCTTCATTAAAATAGTGGTTTAAATGGGGGAAACTGCTTCCTTAAACTGTGTTTTATAGTAGACTACTATGCAATCATAATTAGCCAAACTGTAATCAAACGAAATAGACCGACCTCCTCTCCTCAGCATAATTTGCTTTAAATTGACGTGAAGCAGCATCCTATATACTATTCTCAGTTGAGGACCATGATGAAAGCCTAGTGTGTCAGCGCGTGGCAAGTCTATAATACATTTTAGAAGGAAAATACAATTAATGCAGCAAAAACATGATCATATGACACCTAACTCAAGGATTATTTGCGATATTAAAACATATCACAACAAAGTAGGCTACAATAAAGCCAGCAAAACCTCTCTTATTAGGAAGCATAGACGGGACTTATAATAACGAAGTATTATTCCTTTCCCTTAGAGGATTGAACATTGGCTCATCCACTTAATTAGACTCAATCCCAAGTGCAGTGCAGCTAATTTATGCTAGAAATCACTGCTTGTTTATTTACAGCCAGTTCAAATTACATTTGAGCAGTGTGAAGTGACACATCATCACCTTAACTGCAATGTAATTTTACTGCTTACAATTGCTTCTCATATAAAAGGATGTTCATTACAGTATCAACCAACTAAATAAGCACATGGAATTGTTTTCTGTTGGGTGAAGCTTTTATGTTTTCATGCTGCTGGCAGTGGGAGTTGTTAGTGAGGAGGGGTGGAGATGAAGAAGGAAGTCCCAGAGGAAGGTATTGTTTTAAAACATTCAGGGTCCAGGGGACAAATGTCAGACAAACATACACTTTTGTTTCGGCACGGAGTTAGTTCTCACAGTTCATCACAGTGTTCGGCTTTCCTCCTCGACAATCACAGGTCATCAGGGTTCTGTGTGTATTTGCCAGGCTGTGTCCAATTTTAGGGGCTTCAAAATGAGTTGTTCTGTTCCCCTGTTGGAGCCGAACCAAGGTAACCACGATCTGCTCTTCAAATCTTTTACCTATTAAGGCAGGCTGTTCACGCCGTCACACTGTCACAGAACAACATCTACATTATAAAAAAAATATTTAGTGATGCCAGAACAAACATGTTCCTTCCTTTTATTCTCCATCTGTACTTTATGAAGTTCTCCTCCATTGTTGTCTCCAGAGCCTGCTGACAGGTTTAATGTATTACCGCCCCGATGACCCCATCGACTACTTGGAGGGCTGTCTGAAGAAAGTCAGGGAGCTTGGAGGACCAGACAAGGTGCGGTGGGATACCTTTGTGGGCCAGGAGAAGAAGTCCCTTCCCCCTCTCAATGGCGGCCAATCACGCAGGTCCCTCTTTAGAAATGGTGAGCCGTGAATTCTGATTAAACAACATAGTAAACAAAATTAGAGCTGAAACCATTAGTGAGTTTCATCAGAGACAGAACATTTTGATAACCAATTAATTGTTCAAGTTGTGTTTAAAGCAAAAAAAAAAAAGCTTAACATTTGCTGGTTCCAGTCTCTTAAATGTGAAGATATCCTGCTTTAGTTTGTTTTATATGATAGTACATGTAATTTATTCAGTTTGGGAACTTTTGTTGAGGACAAAAGAGGACATTTAAAGATGTCACATTAGACTCTAAAACTTGTGATGGGCTTTTTGAAAAGACATTTTTGAAATCAAAACATTTAGTTGCATCTTAAAACCACATCTAATTCTACACCTTGGGACTTTATTCCATTATGTTTTGTGTACAACTTCTTTAGTGTCTGCTAGGAGCCAAAATACATATTTTTTGGCACTTGACTTCTTTCTAAGTATTCTGGCAGCCATGCATCTTCCTCTCATACACAACCACGACCAAACTGTCTGAGTGTTTGAACTGGAAAGGGTGTTGACATTTGTACCGTACCCTCATGAGCCCCATTGTAGATACACTGTTAAAACTGCTGCGCAACTCTCGGATATACTAGGGGAAGACTTTCAGAGCAGGATGAGCTAGGAGGCATTTTTTCTCCAGCTACAGTGTGAAGTGCAGCTGTGCGCATCACTACTCTCAGATAGATTTAGTTTCCCAAAAGTGCCAGAAGCCTCTGTTGAGACACCAGAAGCCTCCACAAACATACCACGCCCAAAACACCAGCTACAGAGTTTAGAAGCAACCACTGCTGCTTCCAAACCTGTGAAAGCAACGTGTTCAAAAACAGAATCCAGTGTGCAGCGCTTCGCCTTGAACATCCCTGTGCTGCCTCCACTGATATGTGGATTTGTTGGCAGCCTGTCACTGTACACTAAAAGACGAACGTGTGCAGTTAATAATTCACATGAGAGCAAA